GGGGGTAGCCATGCTGCAGTCACCTCTCTAGTGTCCACTCAGCACTCTGGCAACGCATGCACGCCCCAGCCCCCAGCCCCCAGCGTCATTTTCAAGCTGCCAGTTTCAGGACTCAAACCACATGGCTGGCCGTGTGGGATCCAGTGCCTTAACCTCCATGCCACCTTCTGGCTTTTGTTTATTTTTATTTTCAGTGACCCTGTTGAGGTATAAATGACAGACAGTAAACTGCACACATTTAAAGTGGGGCAGACCCCATCGCCTAGTGGTTAACGTGAGCCAGACGATTCGAACCATGGCTGACTGCGGTTCGAATCCCAGCCCCAGTAGCTTGGGAAACATGCCATGCTTGTGTGTGAACATGCACTAGATCCCAGCAGGATGGAGAAATGGAGGAGAAGGGAATGCAGCGCCACCGTGCCCCCTTTCTCCCTCTCCCCCATCCCCGCTTTGTCTCTGGCTGGTATAAGAACTCTCCAGCAAGTAAAAAAATAAAGTACAATTTGCTACGTTTTAACATACTTACCTACACCCATGAAGCCATCCCCACAGTCTGGAGTGAACCTTGCCCCCTCCTTGAGTCCTTTGTTTTTTGTTTTACTTTTTTATTTTTTTAAGAGAGATTTTTGGGAACCAGCAGTTAGCGTAACGGCTATGTTGCTGGACTCCCACGTATTCTACCGTAGTTCGCATCCCAGACCCGGTGGCTTAAAACTCACATGGGGCACGTGTGCGTGCGTGCCCAAGATCCCAAGAGGAGAATGGAGGAGAAGGGATTGCGGCGTGAACATCCCCCCTGGGGGGTGATTTCTCGCTTTCTGTCTCTCTGTCTCTCTCTGTCTGGTGAGCACACGCACCCTATAGCAAAAACCTCTAAAAAAAAAAAGAATTCTTTTATTAAACTATTTATTTAATTTATTTATTTTAGTTTGATCGGAGAGGGACAGAAAGAAAGTGAGAAAGCAAGCTGCCTTGATCCAGCAGCTTGAAAGGCTCACCAGGCGCGCGTGGGCCCGTGCCCAGATCTCAGGAAGGGCATGGAGGAGAGATTGCAGTGTACTCAATAAAGCCAGTACAGGTGCCCTACAGCAAAAATCTCTTAAAAAAAAAAAAAAAAGTTCAGAAGACTGTGGAGCCTCCCCCCTTATTCTTCCCCACTAGAAGACCCCTCGTCTTCCTACCACCCCTTCGCTGACATCGGACGCTCGGTTCAGAGGGGCCCAGGAGGCAGGGGCAGTCCCTCCAGGAGTGGCTGTGGCAGGAGGCAGGCTGTGAGGGCCTAAGAGTGAGGGGTGTGCCAGGCGCTGGGCAAGGACCCGGTCAGGGCCCTGGTGGGGGGCAGAGGCCCCAGGACCTGAAGAGGTGAAGCTGGGCCTCCAGTCCAGGCAGGCCCTTGGCTCTAGTGCCCTGGGCAGGGCTTTTGGGCTGCTTCCACACACCCACTGCCAGGAAAGGATCCAGAGGCCCTCAGACCGGACCCAGGTGCTTCCTGATGAACTTGCCAAGGGCCTGTCATCCCCAGTGACCTTGCCACATGGCCACGGACCTGCGGGTCACCTAATCGCGTTCTGTACTACTTAGGTACCTCTGTCCCTAGGGGTCATCCATAACCCCCAGTTCGTGAGAGCCGGGGGTCAGTCCTTGGGGATGTCCTGGAGGTTGGGGCGGCTCCTCCTGAGCAGAAATGGGAAGGGGGCAGCCACAGCCATACTTCCTGTGGTAACCGATCTTTCTAGAAATCTAAGACTTCTTTATTTGGAAAAGAGAGTGATTAAGTTCCTAGAATCAGAGCCGTGGTTCCAAAGATAGTCAATTCACATGCTTTTTTTATTTTAAAAAACAGAGGTGTGGTGGGGACCAGCAGTTAGCGTAATGGCTATGTCACTGGACTCCCATGTAGTTGACCGCGGTTCGCGTCCCGGACCCGGTGGCTTAAAACTCATGCCGGGCATATGTGTGTGTGTGTGTGTGCCCAAGATCCCGAGAGGAGAATGGAGGAGAAGGGATTACAGCGTGGCCATCCCCCCTGGGGGGTGATTTCTCGCTTTCTGTCTCTCTGTCTCTCTCTATCTGTCTGGCGAGCGCACGCGCCCTATAGCATAAAAGAACCTCTCCAAAAAAAAAAAAAAAAAAAAAGAGGAGGTGTGGGGCTGGCAGGTGGTGTGGTAGTTGAGGGCACTGGACTCCCACGTGGCTGACCGTGGTTCAAGTCCCAGACCTAGTGGTTTGTGTTTTCTCCACCCCCCCCATCAAAATAAAATAAATAAAGTTAAATGGAATAATTCTTTTTTAAAAAAGGAAGAGGCGCAATCTGTGTTCACCGTAGACAGATTTAAGAATACGGGTAAGAAAAACCACGCCAGCGAGCACCCTGTCTCCCAGCACTCACTGTGAGCCAGTCAGCTCATCTGCTTTCTTCATCTGCTTTTCACTCCCCAAACCCTCTCTGAGCACCCATGCTGGGCCCGCTTTGTGCTGGGGGGACACAGCGATGTCCCGGACGAACCCGTGTGCCCTCTTAGGGCTGAGTCTGGGAGGAGACAGACAGGACACCAGAGAGGACAGCCTGAGGAGGCAGGGCTGGGACGGGGAGCCCAGGAGGAAGGCAGAGCCAGCCAGCCCCAACCTAGTTATGACAGAGCACAGGGCCAGTCAGCCCCAGGCCTGCCCTCCTGGGCCTCACCGTCCCCTTGGGGAAACAGATTTGTCACCACACAGCAACAACCCAGAGTGGTCAGAATAAGAGGCAGGGGGAAGCAGAGGTCTGAGAGTCAGGGAAGGCTTCCTGGAGGAGGAGACATCTGAATTGGGGTACTCTAGTATGGAGGACAGATCAAAAGGAGTAAGTCTGAAGGCAGAGAGAGAGACCATTGAGGCTGAAAGTGTATTCCATCAAGTCCAAGGACAGAGCTCAAGCCTGTGGGAGGACCTATTTCCACTACTGAATTCCCTAACAGGAGTCAGGAAGAGCATGACTCACACTGACTGGGTGGGGCTTTCCCTGCTTCTCTCACTTCAGCTCTCTACCCGGCAGCTGGAGAGACACTCCGGCATGTGAGAGCATACCCAGGATCCTGGAGGAAGAAGGAGCAGAGGGGCCTGGGACATGGCCATCCCCGGGGGATGCTTTCTCACTTCCTCTTTCTCCACTTTCTCTGTCTCTCTGCAGTGAGCTCATGTACCCTGTAGACGAATAGACACACACGCGCGCGCGCACACACACACACAAAGTGAGAGCACATCCTTGACTAATTTTCTAACTCCAATACAATATGATACCAAACCTGAAAAGTTATAAGAAACGACAAATATAGGCTAAGATCTCATGAAGATGCTAGAGAAAAACGCTAGCAATAAGAGGGACAGCAGATGGCGTAATGGTTAAGTTGCTGGACTCCCACATGGCTGACCAACTTATAAGAAACGACAAGTATAGGCTAAGATCTCATGAAGATGGATTCAAGTATCCTAGAGAAAAACGCTAGCAAAAAGAGGGACAGCAGATGGCGTAATGGTTAAGTTGCTGGACTCCCACATGGCTGACCATGGTTCGAGTCCTGGACCTGGCGGCTTGAAATTGATGCGAACATGTGTACATGTGTGCCCACAATCCTGAGAGCAGAATGGAGAGATTGCGGGGTGATTTCTTGCTCTGTCGGTCTCTGATGAGTGTACATGTCCTATAGGAATAATCTCTCAAAAAAAATGAGCAAAAAGTATCCAGCTAGGTCGGGCCAGCAGGTGGTGAAGGTGCTGGATCCCCTGTGGCCGGCTGTGTGGTTCAAGCTGGACCCTTGGCCCAGGCAGTTTGGAAAAAAAACTCCAGGTGTGTGTAAACGTGTGCCCAAACTCCTGAGAGGAGAATGGAGGAGAGGGATTGTGGTGTGGCCACCCCCCTGGCCAGCGGTTTATCACTCTCCCACTCTCTCACTCTCAAACTTAAATGAGGGCCAGCCAGTGCCATGGAGGGTAAGGCA